TCATCATCGTGGGCTCGTCGCCACTTCTCGCACGCATTTCAGCCAACATGATGCACCATCGCATGCAAACCATGCAACATGCGGGCCAACGTACAAAGCTCGCCTCCGACTCGATTGCACATATGCTCGGACTCAAGCTGTACGGTTGGACGGGCACCATGGCGGCACGCATTCTGGCGGCACGCGAGCTCGAGCTCAAGCACCGCCAACGCGGACTGCGCGTGTGGGCACTGCAAATGGGATTGGGCGAGGCCGTGCCTGCATTTGCAACATTTGCCGTGTTTGTTGTGCTTGCGCTGACGCGCGGGCAGGCGCTTTCAGAGGCCCAAGTGTTTACGACATTGGCCATTGTGAGCATGTTGGATCATCCCATTTCGGCCATCATGTATGGGTGGCCGCCGTTTGTCCAGGCATACGCGGCGGCAAAGCGCGTGGGCGACTTTTTGGGGCAGGAGGAGCGCAAGGATTACGTGCAACGGTATGCGCCGACGGACGGCCAGACCGAGCTCGACGACGACGAGGGGCGGCCATTGTTGGAGACAGTTGGGTCGGCATTGCCTTGGGCGATTCGCATTCTCGACGGCAAGTTTTCATTTACAAACGACCCGTTACGCCTCGCGCTTTCGGTTCCACGCGCGCTTACGTTGGCTCGCGGGTCGCGCACGGCCGTGGTCGGCCCAGTTGGTTCGGGCAAGTCCGCCTTGCTCGCATGCATGCTCGGCGAAATCGATTGTCTTGGCGGCTCGGTGACGTTGCGAGCAAAGGGCGTTGCTTACGTTGCCCAGTCCACGTGGATCTCGCACGCGACCCTTCAGAGCAACGTATTGTTTGGACTGCCGCTCGACCAGGCAAAGTACGATGCCGTGATCGGCGCGTGCGCCTTGCGCGCAGATGTGGCAGGCTTTCCCGACGGTCATCTGCAAGTGATTGGTGACAAGGGCAGACAGTTGTCGGGTGGGCAAAAGGCCAGGCTGGCGCTTGCGCGGGCCGTGTATGCTGTGCTCATGGGCGCGGCCGATGTGGTGCTCATGGATGACCCGCTTTCGAGTGTGGATGCGCACGTGGAACGGGAGATTTTTGACGCATTGTTTGCGCCAAAGTCGGGCTTGTTGTCCGACGCCGCGGTGACAGTGGTGATGGTGACGAATGGATTGAATCGGTTGGCCGCGTTTGATGGTGTACTATTGATCAATGGCGGAATGGTTGCAGAGTATGGGTCGTATGCCGAGTTGATTGACAAGGAGGGTGGCGTTGTCAGGGGAATGGTGGACGAGTACATGGCCAAGCGGGTCGGGAGCGGCAAGGATACGGATGAGGCCACGATTGTGGACCAGCAGGACGCACAAGAAGGGGCGGGCGAGGCCCAAGAACAGTCGAGCGTCGCGGCCCCACCTGTTGCCGCGGTAGCGGCACCCACAAGCGAGGCAAAGCAATCGGGATCGGTCGGCATGCGGGTGTACCATTCGTATCTGTCGCATTGCGGTGCAGGGTTTTTCGCTGTTTACGTATTCCTTGTGGGGTTGGGCCAAACAATGGGCATTATTGTCACCTTCTGGCTGGTTCGCCAACGCTTTTTTTTTCATTCTTGTTCAGTTCTTCACTTGGTCTAACAAGTTTCTTACAACTATATGTAGGGATATGCCGCGACCTTTGCAACAACTCCATCCAACGTCGGTTATTGGGCGCTCGTATACTCTGGCCTCGTGCTCGTCCTCGTCGCGCTGGGCGTTGTTACGCCGTACTTTGGATTCGGGATCGTGGGATTGCGGGCAGCCCGCGCGACTCAAGTCAAAATCGTCAAGGCTGTTTTCGCGGCACCCATGTCCTTTTTCAATGCCACTCCCGCGGGCCAGATCCTCAATCGACTCGTCAATGACCAGCAGGCAGTGGATTCTCGACTGTGCGTCCATTTCGTTTTGTATCAGCTACCTAACCACTCACGCAAAGCCGTACGATTCGCCCAGCCCGTCGCTCATGTACATGTTTCTCGGTCAACTCCTCGGCCTCATCGGCACCATCGTCACAATTGCCATTGCGACGCCATGGTTCCTCGTCTTGGTTTTGCCCGCGTCGTTGCTGTTCCAGCTCGTGCAAACCATTTACTTGACCGCGTCACGAGAAGTCGAGCGCATTTCCGCCGTGTTGACGTCTCCAGTCCTCCAGCATTTTTCCGAGTCGGTTGACGGAATCACCACCATCCGCGGGTTTTGTCATGCGGACCGTTTCATGGACGAAGCAGTCAAGTCACTTGACCGCGCAGCGGTTGGCGAATACAACTCGGTACGTCCTTGGTCGGCCTAGGACCAAGTCCCTTGTTTCGTGCACTGACCGATGCGTGTGCTGCATATGCGTCATTCAGGCTGCCCTCGCTGGCTGGCGCTCACTTGTACAAGACGTATTGGGCAAAGTGTTAGTGAGCGGATTGACCTTCATGACCGTGCTCACGCCCACCGCAAGCGCGACGCTCGTTGGTGTTGCCCTGTTGCAATCATCCAGCATTCTGTTCCAACTTTCAGGTACAATCAGTAACTTGGCGTCGATTGAAAACGCACTCGTGTCGGTGGAACGCATCAACGAGTACACGGAGCTGGAGCCCGAGCGCAATCCGCCCGGTGCACACAAGGTCGACGGCTCCTGGCCACAACGGGGCGAAATCCAGTTTGAGGCGTTTGCGACCAAGTATCGTGACGAATTGCCGCCCGTGTTGAATGGGATTGATCTCAAGATTGAGGGCGGCTCCAGGGTTGCAATTGTTGGGTGCGTCCATGACTTTTTCAATCAAATCCTCACCCTCTCATTCGTGACATTCCGCTAAATGACTCTTGTTATCATGTATAGTCGTACCGGTAGTGGCAAGACGAGCACCGTTCTGTCCTTGTTCCGCATTCTCGAGGCGACAGCGGGCTCCATTCAAATTGATGGGATCAACATTTCCGACATTGATCTCGACACTCTTCGTACTCGCTTGACCATTTTGCCGCAGGACCCGTACGTGCTCCGTCCGTGCTTGACAAGTTGCTCAGCAACCGCTCAAACTTTTTCTTATCGTTTGATATAGTACCATCTTTTCCGCCTCGGTTCGCGACAACCTCGATCCGCTGGGTCTCGCGTCCGACGCCGACCTATGGCGTGCCCTTGACGCATCCACCCTTGGCAACCATGTTCGCACGCTCGAAGATGGGCTCGACGCCCCGCTCACGCCCACATCGCTTTCTGCAGGCCAATCGCAGCTGCTGGTTCTTGCGCGTGCAATGTTGCGCAAGTCCAAGGTGCTTGTGCTTGACGAGGCGACAGCCAAGCTTGATGGTGCGAGTGATGCCGTTGTACAGCGAGCGATTCGCACAGAGTTTGCGGATCACACGGTCATCACGATTGCACACAGGATTGATACTGTGCTGGATTATGATACCGTAGTGGTTCTGAGTGATGGAAAGGTGGTTGAGGTTGGAGCACCGGCGGAGCTGTTGAAGAGATCAGAGGGGGGTTTGTTTTATGCGCTGGCGAAGGAAAGTCAGCTGGTGTGATTTTGCTTTTCGGTGCTTTCGGCGCATTCACTTTGTTGCGGCTGACTTGAGTGCGTCAATTAAGAAATGTCGATACATTTGGAAATCTTTACTGAACACTTGTCATGGTCCTTCATGATTTTCTGCCTTGTAAGCTCAACCGAGGTCGAGAAATGTTTTAGAGAGACAAAAATGGGAGCACCATCGCCATCATCAACGAGGAAACAAGAGTGGCGGAAGATGCCTGGCGAGTTGCCGACGACGGGTTAGTTCCTGCAGCGGCAGTCGTGGCGGCCGTCTTGGGAGCCACCCAGCCGGCACACATGGCAGTGCGTTCAGCAAGACCCTTGGGAGAAATGTCCGTGTGCGGATCATGGTAACCGCCCTTGTGGAATGCCTTGATTTTGGTGAGGCGGTCAATGTCGTCTTGAGCGCATTTTGAGCTGCGTGAATTCACACAAGTAGCAAGTGAGTATGTAAACATCACAGAAACCGCAGGTCAATAATCGAAAAGGAGACACACACCAAGCATAGTCCTTTGGGTATTTTGACCATGGGACCACCACGGCCTCAACCTTTTTCCAATCCTCATCCCCGCGCACAATGATTGACGATGGGTTGGCTTTTTGCAGCTCGTCGGCCAGAGCGGAAGCGTTAAAGTTGAACTTTTTCGAGACATTTTCGTACAGCTGGAAGCAAAAGATGCCTGCCTCGTCCTTTTGACACTTGCTCACCCCATTCGCGGCAACGACTGGCAGCCGTTGGCGGCGGTTGCGCGGGAACTCGTAGTTGGGGCCGCAGATCTTCTTGAGGTACTCGTCCGACAAGGACTTGAACATGTTCTGGCAGTCTTGCGTGCACACCTCGGCCTCGTATTTTTTGGCGTCCGGGTCCGATTCGTTCGCTCTTGGGTGTTGCTTGTCGTAATCCCATCCACCGCAGGCGGGCCAGTTGAGTCTGTGAATGGAACCAAGCAGACAGCATGGTGAGAAGCTGGCCCGTGCGAGCTCGTCACTGGATGGACGGGTACTTTTTCATGCAATCTGTCTCACCGGCGCTCAACACTTGTCCGTCAAGTGGGTCGAGCAGCTGCGCAGCAGCAGACGCTGCCAATGCCAAAACGCAAAGCACGAGAATGAATGTCGATTGGGCTGCTTTCATGGTCGTTGTTTACAGACGGATGGCATGTGCATGTTGGGCGAGAGGACAAGAGATGGGAGAGCACACATGCACATAAGCGCGCGGGTCGCCAGCCGCCCATGGCCGGCACCAAAACCGGCCGCGGGCTGTTCACAGTTTATCCACGGCCGCGGTCCACGAGGTCGAGCAAGCCTTGGCTTGCGTCTCAGACAGCCTGCAGCGTGTTTCGGATCTTGTCTCAAGATGGCGTTTCAGGTTCAACGAGAAAATAAAGTCTTGCTTTCAAGAAGGCAAAAAGTCTGGCCGTGCATGTTCCGATGTTGTAACATTACAGAGACCGACACCATCGGTACATTCTGGAGCTTGCGGGGTTCGAACCCGCGGCTTCTCGCATGCAAAGCGAGCACTCTACCACTGAGTTAAAGCCCCTTGAGAGCCCTGTTCCGCCATCAGTTATGGCCCAATCGCCGTTTGTTACACGAGGAAAGCGTTAAGAACTGCAGGGACGTGCGGAAAGGTGCGAGCGATAGACAAATGATAACCGCACAGGTCCACTTCATCTGACAGAGATCAATGCACGAAAAACGGTAACAGGTTACCACTTACCACCCGTACAAACATGAAGAAAACCCAGTCAAAAGGTGCAAGGGGCCAGCCGGAGTTGAGCCGGTGACCTATCCATCTGCAGTCGATTGCTCTACCAATTAGCTATAACCCCCAAAATCGGTTTTTTTCCGTGTTTTTTGCTCGTTTTATACCGGGAAGAACCCAAACGTCTCACTTGGTCGGATCGGAGGACCGCGTCAAAGGTCTTGTGCGTCTTGCCGTGGTCTGTCGATCGCTTGTTGATGTGTGGCCAAAAGCGATACCTATGTATGGCCGACCTGCCGCCCGGTTGTCATTCTCGGCCTCTACTCTGGCCTCTACTCGTCCAGATTCTCGGCCCCGAATTCTCGAGGCAACCGCTCGCTTCAACTTCGAATTGACACACGGTTCGTTCAAACGTCGTGATTGTTTGTTTTCCAAGCTGGACCACAGCTGCTAACGAACCAATGACGCCAAACATCCACTTTCATTTTCAGATTGCGCCGCCCTTCTCTCGAGCCCACGAGTTGTCTGTCCGTCTGCTCGTCTGCCCGTCTACCAGCCTGCACAGCCCGCAGCTCACTGCAACCCAGTGCAAGACCTTTGGAACCATGGCCAACTTGGGTGTCCGCGCTGCCCTTTGCCCGACGTGGCGTAGATGTACCGACGACGCTGTGCACTGGCTCGAGTGCCTGGCAGGCACGGAGGATCGCGCGGCGGCACAAGTACTTGCCGTCGCTGCCGTCGCATCGCTCTTGTCCACCTTTACAACCATGCCGATTCCCCGCATGACGATTGCCCACCACCAGCTCGTCGACCACTTGTTCTGTGACACTGCGCGCGTCGCCCCCAAAATGCCAAGCTCGTTTGGAAAGAGGCAAGATCGCTACGAAACCCTTCGCACTGGACTCAGCGCCCCAACTTACGTATCCTGTCAAAATATCAAGTCAAACGGACGATTTTTGCCCATGACCGACCCGTCCGCCACCCAAACAATGGGTGATCCGCTTCGCCCCCCGCCTGATCAACAGGCCAACACCCCCGATTTTGTCACTGCCCCTGCCCGCTCTGCCGCCCCACGCCCCGCTGCCCTCCGCTTTGCCGCTCCGGCCGACGACAACATGGACGAAGACATCCCGACCCCGACCCGCCCTGCCACTATCCAACGTTTCTTTGCTTCTTGCCTCCTGGCCAACATGCCCGGTACATCCTGCGCCGAAAAGCTTAACACCGCTCGCTTCCAGTACCATACTGGTGCTTTTGAAAAGTCTGCTTGCAACTTTAGCATCCCTCGGGTTTTTGCTGAGGGGGTACGCCAACCGGATCTCGAACGCATCGTGATCGAGTTTTACACGTGTGATGGCCGTGACGACGCGGTCCAACATGCCCGCCCGCTGCATGGATCCGAGGGTGTCACCACCATCCTCGAAATGTACACCCCGCCTGCTGCTGCCGCGATCACCCAGGTCTCGGCTATTTACTTGTACGATGCACCAGGTTGGACTAATGGCCAAAAAGTGACACTATCGCCACGAAACCCTGCGCAATCGAATCAGCGCCCCAACTTACGTATCCCGTCAAAAAATCTCGCCGAACGGACCATTTCTCACTATGGCCGACCCTGGCACCCAAACAATGGGTGGTCCGCCCCCGCCCGATCAAGCCCAAATCGATACTGTCACTCTTTCTGCCTCTGCTTCCGGTTCCAATACTGCCCGCCATTCCGCCCCCCTCCGTATCACTGCCCCGTCTGATGATGACGACAGGATGGACGAAGATGTGCCAACTCCGACCTGCCCTGCTCACGCCCAACGTTACCTCGCTTCCTGCCTGCTCGCGGACATGCCCGGTGCGGGCAGGACCGAAAAGCTCAACAACGCCCGGTTCCAGTACCTTACTGGCGATGCCGACCGCTGCGCCTGCGACTTCTCGATCCCGCGCACATTCGACGCCGATGGCAAACGCACCCCAGACCTCGATCACCTTGTGGTCGAGTTCTACATGGAAAGCGGCCGCGATAACGCGATCGCACACCCCTCGCCCCCTCCCCAACTCCAACGGCGCGTCGACAAAGCTCGGCGCGTACAACCCTTCCCCCGCCACTGCCAAGCTTGAGGAATTGTCCTCCGTTGTATACTTGTACGACGCCCCTGCCACCATCGTCCCGTCCGCCATCGTCCCACGCCTTTTGGAGAAATTGCCGAATGATGCCAAGGTCAAGATGTTCACACCCGACGTTTATGACCATTTCTACGGCGTGTGGCGGGTTCTGCTCTCAGGCTCCAACCAAGGCAGACGTGCTGGACGTTATTGCGCAAGGTACACCAGAGTCGCTGAACGCAGCTCAGGTTGCGTGGCACAAGGTGTTGATCGACTCGGCCAAGGCCAAGCTCAAGCACCGGACCGCCTCGCCGATCTCGGCCTCGAGCGCAACAAGGGTGCAGTGATCAATAAGATTACGGAGCTTGAGGGCAAGTTTCGCAAGGCCCTGGAGTGGAAGAGTGAGGCTGGTGCCGGGTTGCACGACCATGGCGACGCCGAAGAGTAGGGCGCTCCTTGACGCTCTTTGTGTGACTTTCTGCTTCTGTGTCCCGCTGTGTCGTCTTGTATCAGTGCACATGAGTTTATTTGGATTCGGGTGCATCCCACCAACGTGCTTGTCATGTTTCTACCCCTTCTGTTCTCACCACAACCATGCCTGAGTGAATAATCCTTCGTTGTGACTCATGGGCAGTAATCGATCCTCCCCGCATTTAATCCGCTGAACCAGCCAATGCCGTCCCAATGGGGTACTCAATTTCATTGGCTCTTTCCATGCCGATCCGATGCCGAACCCAATAGCCGATCCAGCAACTTTGAAACCCACTATTACTTGTGGACGATTCGCCTTGACTCAAGGGAATGGGTAAGAAGACCCGCACGAGTCGGGACGGCGGACAACTACGTAGCTCTGAAGTGAAAAGGCGGGCAAGTGAACAAGCTGTCGTGAGCAAATGGTACGAGCAAGGACCGAGCTTGATGTGTCACAAAAAGTGCGGTTTCATGCCAAATTGCAGAAAGTATGGCCGTTGCAAGCAAGATCAATGAGAACATAAAAGTGGAATGTAACACAACGTTGATCTCAGTCGTCGTAGTATTCCTACTCTTCCTCTTCCTCCTCGTCCGAGGCTATTTCCCGACAAGCCACCTGCTTTCGCCACGTCTTATTGGTTCCATCGTCACGCAGCCATAGCCGTGCACGACTCTGAACCAACTCAGTTGCAGAGCGGACCATTCGCGTCACTCGATCGGCATCTCGCGTCAATTCGCGCAACCATGCGCCAGGATCCGTGTGAATGAGTGATTGGTTTGGCGCCGATGCAGAGGGGGATCGAGTTGGAGAAGATGTGCGGTTGCGGGTCGCGGGCGAATCAGGGAGCAGGCGCGGAATACGGGCGCGAGCCCGTGGCAGCACGAGCGGGAATTCGGCTTGGACTGCGGCTTTGAATGATTCGCGGACACGGTAAGCGTCACGGTCGCGGTCAGGACGGTGAAGGACAGGTGGGGTCGGAAGGCGAATACTCGGTTGAGTTGAATGGGCCGTCGTTAATGCAGCTAGACTTTGCGGTTGTTGGCGCTGATCAGGATGTTGGCGTGCAACCTCCCGCTGGCGGAGTGCTTCGGCTTGGCGGCGCCGCTCCGCTTCTTGCTGCTCCCATTCACGGTGCCGTCGCTCCGCCTGCTGTTGCTCCAATTCAAGCCGCCGCCTCTCCGCCTCCTGCTGCTCCAGTTCACGGCGTCGCCGCTGTGCCGCCTCTTGCTGTTCCAACAGGGGTCGCCGTTGCCGGGCTGCTTCTTGCTGCTGCAAATCGAGCTGGCGCTGCCGCGCTGCCTCCCGCTGTTCAGCTTCGTAATGGCGCCGAGCCGCTTCCTGCTGTGCGAGCAACCGCCGGTGCTCCTCGTCAGCGGCCCATTGCCGGCGAAGCTGCTCCTCCTCTTGCTGCTGAGCAAGTCGACGTTGCATGGCCGCTTGTTGCTCCTCGGCGAGTTGTGCTTGCCACGCAGCATCCAAGAGCGCCATCACATGCTCGTTTCTCCTCCTCCGCATCTGTGCTTGATGCTGTGTTTCGGCTTTTTGGGCCATCCGCAATGGATACAGCTGCGGTCGTGTCATGACACCACCGGGGCCGGCAAATAGATGTCGGCGCTTTTCGTAATCCTCACGGGCTTGAATCTCGGCATCCTCCTGTGCCCACTCACGCTCGAGCGCGGCCATCCTAGCCAATAGGTCTTGCCGCTGGGCCCAAAGCACTTGCTGCAATCCTTGGTTGGCCCCTGTCTGACGAATAGATTGATCCACGTTGGCGATGGCCGCCTCGTAATCCTTGCGCTGCCGCTTCCGATCCCACGTCCTTGCCGTCTTGGCCTTCTTCTTGTTTTTGCCGTCCATGAGCATGGTGTAAACCTCGCGGAATCCGGCGAGCGAGTATCGAAGTCGGTTGACGATTTGTTGGTGCCATGAAGCCAAGAACGTTGAGTTGGGAGCAAGCATGTCGTTGACCCATTGTGGGTCGACCGTGGGCAGTTGGCCGTTGCGCATGTGAGCGGCAATGGATTGGTGGATGCGAAGGTCTTGAAGATCGGCAAGGTAGTTGTCGGCGCATTGCAGGGAGCGTACGAGCGGGTGGATGAGTTTCACTGAAAGTGGGCAAAGTGAGGTGATCTAGGTGAGCAAAACGGCAGCAAATTTCGGCCGGCGAAAAGAACGGCATTTGAGAAAGAAAAGAATCGAACTGTCAATCTTTTTTGGAGGCCTGGATGGGTGCAAGTGCACGAAGAAACGGGAGACGGAGTCAAGCAAGGTGAGTGGCTGTGCATAAGAAGGCAGAAAGGAAAATGAAGAAAAAGCGACAACGAACCGAGGGTATGGTGACAACCTGCCCCAAATCACTTCTCGCGGCTGTTGCTGTTCCGCATCAAGATAGACACAGACCTCAGTCAGGTTCAAGAAGCTCTCCGGATCCGTTACTGTGACAGGGGCAAGTAGCGGTGTGAGCCAACCGCAGGACCGGCGAGAGGGACGTCATAAGGATGTAGAACAACGGACACGTAGACCCAAACGGCACCCGCGCCCAACCGCCGCTTCGCGCTGCC